AGAGATGGGGTCTCACTATGTTGCCCACACTGGTCTCAAACTCCTGGGCTAAAGCAAGCCTTCCACCTTAGCTTCCCAAAGTGCTGGGATTACAGCCACGAGCCTAAAGATTCTTATTCAGAGGGGACTGCCTGAAAACTGGTAAGTCCAAATCCAGGGCGAAGCCAGCCTCGAGAGTCTTATAACCTCTCAGCCCTAAACTAGATTCAGCAATGACTCCAGAAATCAGCCATGGAGTGACCCCTGGGGAAAAACTTACCAACACCATTCCTGTAAGTCAGTAGTTCCAGCCAAGGATCCCCAGCTCATGGAGCATCCTGATTCAGCAAGTGCCCCGCTACTCACTGTCCCCTCCCCCAAATCCTTGAACTGGGAGCAGAGGACTTGGAACCCCCCTGACTATTCCACAAAGGCTAGGGACTGCACCCACTCCTCCAGCAGTAATCCAACTCAGTAACTGCCAAATCCCACCTCGTCAGAAGCCCTCTCAATAGCTTCCAAAAGACCCCCCGCCTGCTCTACCCACTGCCATCTCCCTCTGACTCATGAAAACCTTTCAAACACCATGTGTGTGCATTCATTCATTCAGTTACTGTCCTTTACTCCTTTATTTTTTCACTGTTACTATGTGACCAAAAGGTGCCTCACTAGTTCACTCATTCACTCACAAAGTTGCTATGTGCCCAAGAGGTACCTCATTCATTCATTCATTCCCAGTTATTAAGGGCTCAGGGTGGCACCTGTGGCTCAAAAGGGTAGGGCACTGGTCCCACATGCCGGAGGTGGCGAGTTCAAACCCGGCCGTGGCCCAAAAAAAAAAAAAAAAAAATGGCAAGGGCCCACAAGGGACTGGGCTCTGCGAGCACTGCCATCCAGGATCCCCATTTGAAGGAAGTCAGACACAAACCAAGTTATCTCCCTCAGATGAGGAATGAGGGGAGGCTTGAAATGAAGTTGAGTGAGGCAATAAGGGGAGGACGCAGAAACACGTTTAGGCCAAGTCCTGTATGCTAAGTGGAGTTGGCCAGTGAAAATTTCGGGGATAGTGAGCACAGGCACAGTGTTTCCCTGGAAGACCCCACAGACCTGTTGGTCCTCAATATGTACCTTTTCAACAACTCCCCATTCAAGCAGACTACATGTAACCCCATCCCCTGGGACTTCCCTTTCTCCTGGAGACCCTCCATAACTGATGCTCTGGGCACATTCCTAGGGGCAGCGGTTCTCAACCTGTCGCAACTCCTTTGTTAACAGTGAAAATACATTGCGGCATTAGGAAGGTTGGGAACCACTACTCTAGGGGCAGGTCAGCAGACCTGGATTTGCAGCATTGCCCTAAATGACTCTGGGGCAATAAATATACTTCTACCTTCAGTTCCCAGCTCTGAGAAATGAAGATATGAGTGGTCTGTCCACCCTAATCCAAATGCCTCCCAATGAAGACTCAACTTTTGCCAGGCCCTGTTTCAGAAATTGGAAAGATGGAGGTGACCCAAACCATCACATCTACCTTTTGAGGAGACGAAGAATTAACAGAGACTATGTCTGTGAATGCTCAGGCTGGCCAGTAGGAGACTCTGGTGTCTCCCCTACTAGGGGATGTGGGTCCCCTCATGCCCCTACAAGGCTACCCACCTATTAGCTCTTGATTCACCTCATATGGAACCCCTCTGGTGGCACCAATAAAAGTTCGGAAGTCCCTGACGACTTGCCCTTCAATCCTGGAAAGACTTCGTTTTACCCTCAAACTTTATCAAGCTTCTGTTCCCCCTCAGGCACCCCAATAATGACCAGTGACCATCGATCTCAAAGTTGTCCCGTTGGCAAATCTCATGACCCCTTAACTCCTTGATTCCGATAATGGTCCCCGTCTGCTTCACAGCTTCCCCGAAGCCTGGCGATAGCTTCATCAATAACCTCTTAACACGGCTCGGCGCCTGTAGTTCAATGGTTAGGGCGCCGGCCACCTGCACCAGGGGTGGTGGGTTCGAACGCGGCCCGGGCCTGCTAAACAACAACTGCAAATCGCCTGAGCCCAGAAGTTGGAGGTTGCTGCGAGCTGTGATGCCACAGCACTCTACCGAGGGCGACATAGTGAGATCCTGTCTCAAAATAATAATAATAATATCTTCATGTCTCCCCCCAGACCGCCAGCACCCAGGAACCGCTCTTGACGAACCCAGTGACCAGTTCGTCACATGCACCACGACTGCCCAGTGCCCCCCAACCCGGCTCGACTCCCCCACAGCACGTCTATCTCACACAGGAGTCCTCCATGACTGCTCCATATACCCCGGTGACGACCACATGCCACGCCGGGAGATCCCCTGGCCCTCGGGGCCTACTCGGACAGCCCCAGTGACCCTAAGAACTCCCTTCGCCCTCCACCCTCAGGGCCCGGCTGGCGCTCACCAACGGCACCGCCGATACTGGTGCTAGCGTAGGCTTTGCGGTGGCAGTCGGTGCCATCTGGAATGTCCCAGTACTGACGGAGGAGCCTCCGCGCCATGGTAGCCCACCTGTGGGCACCGCACAGCTGACCCTGCCGGCGCTCCGCACCCCAAAGGACAGCCGCCACTGGCTCACGCGAGACTTCCAGGGCTGCGTGCGCAGCCTCCCGGGAGGACGAGCCAGCAACAAGCGCGCAACTTTATTGAGCGCCGTGGACACGGACACGGGTTGTACGAACGCGCCGGGGGCGGGCCTGGCATAACAGAGCAGCACGTGCACCGCCCCCGCCCCGGGCCAATTCCCCGAGGGGGAACTGAGGCGTACTGCGATGACTAAGGACAAGTTCCGCTAGTCCCAGCTCAGGAGGTCCCATGTTAGGGATGATTTGACTACTGCAGGTGGTGCCCGATGGCCGGGGCTGTGATAGGTGGTAGGCCCACATTCAAGTGCCGATTAGGACACGCAGCAGGCCTACTCTCGGCCTACGCTTGATAGGAGTGAGACCTAATTATGGGGTGGGGCATGGCGGAGACGTGGTCACTCCCAGAGCCAGAATCTGTGTGGGGCGTGGTCATACCCTAGTTGTAAAGCTGGAGTTTGAATAGCCGGCGACAGTTTGGGGGCGTGGCCAGATTCAAGGGCGGGGCTTACTGGAAAAGCGACCAATCCTTGTGCTAGAATCCTAGCAGGACATTACCTAGGTCCAATCGACAGCTTGTTCAAACCCTCGGATGCAGGAAGTACACTTGCGCTTGTGTTGGGGGTGTGGCCAGAACCGGGGGCGAGGCAGTGCCCTTGACAAGCTGTAGTTCTAGGTCTGGACCAATCCTGGTGTTTATTTTTTTTCTTTTATTATTATTATTATTTTTTTGAGACAGAACCTCAAGCTGTCCCCCTGGGCAGAGTGCCGTGGCATTACAGCTCACAGCAACCTCCAACTCCTGGGCTCAAGCGAGTCTCCTGCCTCCGCCTCCCTCCGCCTCCCTCCGCCTCCCAAGTAGCTGGGACCACAGGCCCCCCGCCACAACGCCCTGCTATTTTTTGGTTGCAGCCGTCATTGTTTTGGCGGGTCCGGGCTGGGGATTCGAACCCGCCACCTTAGGTGTACGTGGCTGGCGCCTTAGCCGGTTGAGCTATAGGCGCCGAGCCCCTGGTGTTTATTTTAATTAAGATCTTGTCTGGAAGGTGAGACAGATCCCATTTCCAGAGCCTGAGCGCAGGAAGACCCTGGAGGACATTGGGCATGGTCTGTCAAGACTTTGACCAATCTTGGAGTTAGGCAGGGCTCAGGGGCGGAGTTTCAAGATGCCGGAACCAGTAAGGAGGTTCAGGTTGGAGGAAAGGCAAGCTGGCCCTGGAGGTGGAGTTCAATAAGGGCCATGGCCAATCACGACGAGGTTCTGAAGGACGGGGTTGTCGCAGGGTGGAGGACTTGCTGGTTTGGGGCGGTCCGGGGGTGTGGCTATGCCTAGATTGCCCCCGGAACCACGTCTGCCCCTCCTTCCCTGTAAATCCGGGAGGCGAACGCACACCTGACGGCCGTGTACCGGAGCGCCGCGGAGCTGGGAGAGCACTAGACACGGCGGAGCGCACGGTGCACTCCCAGGCTGAGAGCCTGGCACGCCACGACTAGCAGCTGCAGCTGCCCTGGACGAACTGGGATGCGCCAAGGACCGGTGAGGTCCAGTGGACTTCTCGGAGGAAATGGGCGGAGGCGGAGCCGAGTTTGGAAAGCAAGCAAGGGCAGGGGGAACCGTGTGCATTCAATGTGGAAGCTGGCCTGCTGGTAGGATTGAAAAAAGAAATACCAAAAAACGAATTAGTCATTAGTATGTAAAGTTGAGAGATGTGACCCAAGTGTGGATCTCTAATTTCAAACAGGGCTAGGGTGACCAGATTTTAACATTGGCAAAGCGGGACAACATGGCCCGGGGGCGAGGCAGGGCAGGGCCTGACAACAAAGCAAACTTTGATGAGCAGTTCTCGATAATCACTTCTCAACAATTATTACAGTTGTTATTATTACAGTTTAACATTATAAAATTAACAAAAATAATATAAATTCACATTCTGGAGAAATAGCCACATGGCAGGCGAAAACCATATATTCCCTTCCTGTTCTCCCGCCCGTTCATGCATTCTTTCCAAAAATTGGGACTTTTTTAAAATGCCACTGGACGTGGGACAAATTGTTAAAGAGCAGGACGTCTGGTCACCCTAAACAGGGCCCACTTTACTACACGCAGAATCAACTGGTACTGAGTGGCACAGGGACTACTGACCACCAGTCATAGGCATCGGAAGCTATAGTAGGCTCTTTAGCGGGAGGATGGAATTATATCAGCATTTTTGAAGAGTCCCTCTGGCAGCTGAGGATTGAAAGGGATGAGATAAGACAAGCACCCAGAAAGGAGGGAGGAGCTTGGGCCTCGGTGGAAAATGATTATTAATTCAGAGCTAACGGGATGCATTCATTCACTCATCTTTATGGAACATCTACTTTGTGCCAGGCACCGTGCTGGGTTGGCACTTACATCAATTGGTAAGACTTACACAGCCCTGCCCATAGGGAGTTCACAGTCCAGTGGGGAAACAGACACATCACTGGGTGGTTACAGCACCAGTAGTTAAGGACTTTGAAGGCGGGGCACATAGGGACCTGAGAGGTCTCAAAGGTCTCTTCTTGGAAGAGGCACAAGTGGAAAAAGATGTTGGGGGTAGAGGGAACCACAGGAAGAGTGAGGAGCAGTGATGAAGGCTGTCTTAGCTTGGGCTGCCATAAAAAAAACTACTATAAAATTGGTGGCTTAAACAACAGATTTATTTCTCACAGTTTTGGAGGTGAAGTCTGAGAAGAGAGTGCCCCCAGGGCCAGGTTGTAGTGAAGGCTGTTTTCATGGTATGGGGCTGCTGCCTTCTCCCTGCATCCTCATATGGCAGAGACAGCCATGAGTTCTCTGGTTTCTCTTCTTATAAGGGTATTTACTAATCTCATTGTGGGGGCACCTGATAATGACCTTATCTAACCCTAATTACCTCCCAAAGGTCTCATCTCCCTCATCTCCAAATACCTTCCCAGTGGGGGTTGGGGGTTATTGAATTTAGAGGAAGATAACAAACACTGAGTTCAATAATGTGAAGGACCCCAAGGCAGAGGGAGGTGTAGAGACTTTATCTCCAAAGATAATGGGGAGCCTCAGGAGAGTCAGGAGATGGGAGGAACAGACCCTCTGATGCCCAGGACTGTAACCACCTCATCTTGCCTTCCTGCCAGTGAGATTACCACTCTCCAGGAGCAGCTGCTGACTTCTGAGGCTACTGTCCATAGCCTGCAGGCAGAGGGATGAGTTCATCAGACACTTGGAGCCCCGGGCTGGGTGCTGCAGGACATCTGTCACTGCTGGCTGCCCCTGGCCAGGCTGCTGGCTCCCCTGGCTGAGGCTGAGTGCCTGGGACCTCTGCTAGCCAGTGACCCCAACCACCCACTCCCTGGTGTGCCTGGCCTACCCCTTGCTAATAGCACTGGGGAAGAAGGGGATATGGACCAGCTCCAGCCTGCGGTATTTGGGACTACAGTGTGAACCCGGAGACCGAAGGCCACTGTTTTGAGTGTCCTTAGCAGTCACCAGTGTTCTGGAGGGGACCCTGTGGCACAGCCATAATCTTGCCAAGCATCAAAAATAAGCTGAAAACTCAAAGTTTTCAAACAGACCCACAGGCCAAATGAGGATGTTTAATGCAGACAGAATTTTTTTCTTTGAAGTTCAAATCAATCACCCTTGTTAAAAATTGACAATGCTCATACAGAAATCTGGATTTCTGGCAAGATGGGGACATACTTGCTTAGATCTGAGTCTAGGGTGCCCTTTTAGCTTGGTGTGAGTTTCAGCTGGTCCCCTCACTTCTCTTAGGTTATCTGTCTGGCCCTTAAAGCATCTGAGTTTGAGACCTTTCCCTATGTCTGGTTGGAGGCAGATGGCAGCAAGTTTCACATTATTTGAGTTGTTCTGTCGCTTTTTCGTATTTCTCCTGAGGCAGCCCCCATCTCAGGTCTGAAGTTTTTTCTTTACCCCAGATCAGAATTGAGGACCTCTAAACCTCATGCCATTTTACATTGGGTAGATTTTTATTTTCCCCATTTTGTTTTCTTACCATCAGAATATATGCTCCATGAGGCCAGGGATTTCTCTGTCTGATTCCCTGTTTGTCTTCAGGGCCTAACACATTCCAGGAGCCCCAGCACGGTCTGTTGGTCCTGAAGGGAGCCAGTCCCTGTCCCAGCCAGTCTAGCTTTTGTAAAACGTAGCTACCTCATTTTTATATGCCTAGAGTATCTATTTTCTTAACTCCTTGTTTCTACGCTGTCCTTCTTGGCCCAGTGCATCATGGCACTTTGCCTTTTATCAAACCAGGGAAAGAGGCCTTGTGCCTTCCATGCCTGGCCTGGACAGCAATAGTTCTCCAGCCTCCTCACTCAGGAAATTCTTACACCAGGAACAGGTATGCAGTCTTTTCCAACCCAGGTGGTCAGTCATCCCAGCCCTCAGGATGGCACTGCATGAACACCTGGCCTCAAACGGTGACTCCCCTTAGTACAATAACAATGGCCCCATTTTCTCTTCCAGATAAATAAAGTGGGAGACTGTTTGTACAAAGGAGAGGCAGGCTGGGACCTGTCTTTGGCTAAGAATAAACCAGACGATTTCTTGGCCTTCTTCATCCTTTCTTCCTGGCAGGGCTCTGGAGAGATGGCCCTCTGTGTTGTTTGTGGTTCAGGCTGCAGCTCCCCTGGGTCTTGAGACATGAGGTACAGTTTAGGAAGCTTGTATCAGGCACTCTAAACACGTGATTGTGTCTGATCTTTGCAGCCACCTGTAGACACAGGCACGTGCCCTATTTTACAGTTGTGCAAAGTGAGGCTCAGAAAAGTGAAAAGAAACAGCCTCCAGTTGTGAAGGGCCACAGAACTTCCAACATTGGTGGAGGTTCTTGTTGAAATTTTTAACTCTTTGGCTCGGCACCTGTGGCTCAAGTGGCTAAGGTGCCAGCCACATACACCTAAGGTGGCGGGTTCGAATCCAGCCCAGGCCTGCCAAACAACGATGGCTGCAACCAAAAAATAGCCAGGTGTTGCGGTGGGTGCCTGTGGTCCCAGCTACTTGGG